ACTGTTCCCATCCCCCCAATTCCCCAATAAAAATTTAAAAAAAAAAAAAAAAAAAAAGCACAGGCATGTAGACCCTTGAAACCTAGTGAACAGAATTTTTAGCAAGCCAAGGTGAAATCTTTTCTTCTGGGAAGAAGTTTCCCTCAAGAACATCCTCCTGCCCAGCAAGACCAAGAATTTTTCTAGTGGGGATCTGCACCCACTTGGAAAGCTTCAGTGGAATGAAACCTCTTTTAGCCAAGTTATTCATTTTCTCTTGCCTTCAAAAGTATTTCCTTTCCTAGGCCAGAGATGGAGCCTCTTTCGTGCAGTCATGCATATCAGACATAAAGTAAGTGCTTTTTAAATTAGTATTGGCAACTCTGTGTCCTTCCTTTCAGATGAATGACTGTTCAATGAAAACACAGGACCCTGTGCTTCTATCGTCCTTGCTAATGTGGTGATATAATGATGCCATGGGGGAAAGGTTAATTAACTTTATCCCACAAATGAAATACTATTGAGAATGTTACTTAAATGTGGTTACCTCTGCTTCAGAATCTAAGCTGAAAACAGAGCCCGAAGGCTACCACTCCATATACTGCATTTTGGTAGCTCCCAAGTCTTTCCAAGGTATTCCTCAGAAATTTGTCTCCAATTCCTCCTTAGGTGGAAGAGCTATCAACAATCTTTTTTTCCAGCTTAGTCACTAAAAATATTCCCTCTTTACACATTACCCCATCAGTATGCAGTGATTTTACGTATAAAATTTTTAATAATGGGAAATCGAATGACAAAATGAATAATCACCTCTACTAGAAAATGAATTTTTAAAAGGATTGATACATAACATAAGGTTCACAAGCTTAATATACAGGTGCATACTCAGTGATGTATGTATTGAATCAAGGCACTTTTAAACAAATATTTGGTAATGAAATATATCTGTTAAAAAGAATACAAAAAAGTTCTTCCTGGTTTCTTGGGTTGAATTTCAGCAAGGCCTCTCTTGCAGAACCTTCCTTGCTGACCTCTTCAAGAGAAAGACAATGAGAAAAAAATGTCAAGAGTTACATTTAAAGCCAATGTGCTTTATGTGTATTTGAGACTGTTCCAAGTCAATTTATTTATAGAGCATTTGCCTTCCACAAGATGACATACTGTGCAGCCTGACTTTGGCGATTGCAGGCTGAGAAGCAAAGTTGGGACAATTACCACATCCAAGCCGAGGGGGTGGTTGGTTGTCTTTCTATTTTGCCTTCCTAACCATTAAGATCTTACAGCTTTCTACCTTTGTAATAATAATAATGCCCTTCCTTCCAGGCCTCAGTTCCTCAATTTACAGAACGGAGCTAACACAAGCACCATTCTTTGATACTTCCTTCTCATATATTTTCTCCTCCAGCCAGCTGTGCTAATGGAACAAGAGCAGAGGACAATCACAGTGGCATTCTTGATTGTAGGGCCTGTGTGATTCTCAACCTATGAAAGAAGTAAGTCCTAAATGCCCTAAGGCCCATCTAGAATGCTACTTGTTATGGGCCAACCTTGAGAGAATTGAGAAAACAGTGCTCAAAGCGTTATCTTGTTCTGTGGTTTGGATAAGAGCCCTGATTGAGAAAACGAAATCCTCTTCCAGGATTATGGGGTAAAACAGCTGGGATGAGAATCCAACCAGGTCATGAGAATGTCTTGCCCACAGCATCTTCAGTTTGATGAAGAGTAAAGCGAATAGATGAAGAACTGAATCCTCCTGACATCCTGAATGGGCTTATGCTCATACATACACAGCAAAAGTTAAGGGTCATTGATTTTGATATTGATACTCTACCATTCACTCATTGTTCAATCAAAAAAAAAATGAGATGTCAATTTAGGGTGACCAACCATCTAGACTTCCCTAGGACTGAGGGGTTTCCTGGGACACAGGACTTTCATGCTAAAAGCAGTCAGTAGCAGGAAAACCAAAGTGGCTGGTCACCCTAGAAACAGCGACCATTCATTCAATAAATAAAAGTAATCTATTAAGTGCCATAAATGTGATACGATAAGAATGAGAACAGGGGACCATAGGAGCCTGTAGGAGGACAACCTAACAGGC